GTCTATATATATAAAAGCCTAAGTGACTGTCAAAACCAAAACAATCAAATGGATAACTCAACAGGCTGTGTGGAAAGCAGGCAGGCAGAGGGGGGCTGTTGGGGGTGACCAGGCCAGCATGGGGAGCAGTAAGGGGCAACCATGCTGGCAGGGGAAGGGCAGTTGGGGCGACCAGGTTGGTAGAGGGCAGCAGTTAGGGAAGATCATGTCGGCAGGCAGAGGCAGTTAGGGGTGATCAGGCTAGCAGGGGAGCCAGTTAGGGGCGATCAGGCAGGCAGGCAGGTGAGCAGTTAGGAGCCAGCGGTCCTGGATTGTGAGAGGGATATCCGAAGGGCCCGAATTGGAGAAGATGCAGGCTGGGCTAAGGGGACCCCCTCCTCCCGAACAAATTTCATGCACTGAGCCTCTAGGCTACACTAATAAAATACAAAGATGCTAACTGACCGTACCTTCGCTACGCCCATCAGCCAATCAGAAGAGTATGCAAATTAACCCAACAAAGATGGCCATTAAATTTGCATACTTCAGGTGGGGCGGGCCGCAGCAGCAGACTGCAGGCAGGGCGGGACAGCGCCATCTGCCGCCTGCCCCACCGCCATCCAGGCCTTCTATCTGCGACTCAGGGCAGCGGGGCAGGACAGCGCCATCTGCCGCCTGCCCGGCCGCCATCCAGGCCTGCAATCTGCAACCCGACCCAGGGCAGCGACCCAGGGCAGGGGGATGGGATGGCAGTGATTCGCCGGCCCGCCTGGCCACCATCGGGGCGTCCCATGTGCGACCCCACCCGGGCAGCAGGGCGGGACAGCAGCCATCTGCCAGCTCACCTGGCCACCATCCAGGCATCCCGTGTGCCAACTGACCTGGGGAGGCAGGGCGGGACAGCAGCGATCTGCTGGCCCACCCGGCTGCCATCCGGGCATCCCGTGTGCGACCCGACCTGGAGCGTAGACTGAAGACAGTGTAGAAGGAAGCCAGGCGCTGCAGAAGGGGGCAAAATGGCAGAGAAGGGAATGGAGACAGGAGCAGAGCTGAGGCAGCGGACACGGAAGGGAGTGAGGCAGCAGAGATTGGAGGGAGCGAAGTGGCGTAGAAGAGAGGGAGCGAGGCAGGGGAGAAGGGAGGGAGCAAGGCAGTGGAGAAGGGAGGGAGTGAAGTGGTGGAGGAGGGAGGGAGTGAAGTGGCGGAGAAGGGAGGGAGCTGAGGT